ACTATCTTGTTAAATCATGCATTTTAAAGAGAATAAACTCAAGACAGCATTAGTTATTACTAGATTAGGCTATTAAAGTAGTGACATCATGTACTATTATATTCAGCATAACCACTACCAGACTTTATTCCCTTTATAAATCACTGACCATTATTGTTATCATTGCCTCATGCTAAGACTATACAATCATATTATAAACTCAAGAAGTAAAGAATTGTTTATATTCACAGGCACTTCTTAAATAAACTTTTTTTCTGGATTTCTATGGTAAAACATCAAATTATATTTGGAAATTCAATATTTCTTGGTTAGATCTGACACTCAATGCCGCTCAACAAGCTAGGTTACAAATTTGTCTTGGTCATTGTTGAACGGAGCAGTGGTTTTTCACTCTTTCAAAACAGAAAATGAACATTCTCCTTCACAGGGGGGGTATTTAGTAGCTGGAAGTGTTAGGTAAAGGCGATACACTATGTCAACATTAGGAAAGGTTTCTGAGTTACCTGCATTTCTTAAATTTTCAAAGCAGCTGAGGGCGCACATTTTCAGGTGGAGCTTTAATCTGATTCATATTACCCAGAAATATTAACTATTTCTTCAACAAATGTGTCCTGAACATCTGCTGAAAGGTGTTGTAGCAACTTTAATGCAGCTTCTCTCAATTCTGCATCTGGCATAGTAGTAATTTTGAACAGAAATCCAAACTTGTCATTGAGATTAAGGTAATTTCTTTTCTTTTCACCAATCTCTGTTATCATTTGAATCCAGAATGACGAAGTATGTAGCGGTCTTACATTTCTGCCTTGGTAGCAACACAATTTCATTGTGTTGCTGTTCTGATGTAAACAAAGGCATGTTGAGTGTTGCCATCTATGGTAAGGTTTATTTATTTTTATTTTATTTTATTACATTATTATTTTTTGTTTTGATTAATTTTTAAAAATCAATTTTAATCTCCAAACACTTGAACTTTTTACGAAGGGACCCCTTTGCACTTGCACCATGTGCGCAGTCTTGGATGAGCCCCTGAACCCCTTGGACCGCGGGGCCCCCAAATGCGCTGGGGCCCTAGGCAAATGCCTAGTTGCCCTATGCGGTGGTAAATCCGGCCCTGCCATGGTCACCGTGGTTGTTTAATATATTTATTAGATGGGGTAGTAAGAGAAGTAAATGCGAGGGGGCGTGGCCAAGAGGCGGGAGTTAAAAGACAAAAGAATCACTCTAAAGTGGGTGTTGTCAACAGTTTGCTCTTTGTGATGGACACGGTGCTCTTGGGGATTCTGAAGAGAAGTTGCAGAGATTGGTGGATGAATTTGGTAGGTGTGCACAAAAGAAGAAAATTAAAGTGAATACAGGAAAAGAGTAAGGTTAGGAGGATAACAAAATGATTAGGTGATGAAAGATTGGATATCAGATTGGAGGGAGGAGTATGGAGGAGGTGAATGTATTCAGATATTTTGGGAGTGGCAGTGTCAAGGGATGGGTCTATGAAAGATGAGTGAATCATAGAATTGATGAGGGGGAAAAGGGTGAGTGTGCACTTAGGAGTCTGTGGAGACAAAGAAATTTGTCTTGGAGGCAAAGAAAGGGGAATGTATGAGAGTATGTTTTACCAATGCTTATTATATTGGGTGTGAAGCATGGGTGAAGAATGTTGCAGCGTGGAGAAGGATGGAGGCGTGAGATGTCATGTCTGAGGGCAATGTGTGCGTGTGATATAATGCAGAGAATTCGTTAGTTTGGAAGTTAGGAGGAGGTGCTGGGATTTACCAAAACTGTGTCCAGAGGGCTGAGGAAGGTTGTTGAGGGTTGGTTCGGACATGTTAGAGAGAATGGGAGCGAAACAGGTGACTTCAAGAGTGTATCAGTCTGTAGTGGAAGGAAGGGCGTGGGTAGGGGGTCGGCCTAGGAAAAGGTTGGAGCGGAGGGGGGAGTAAAGGAGGTTTTGTGTGATGAGGGGGCTTGGACTTCCGCAGGCATGGTGAGCAATGTTTGATAGGTGATGGAGACAAATGGTTTTTAATTCACTTGACGTGCTGTTGGAATGTTAGCAAAGTAACAGTTTATGAAGGGGGTTCAGGGGGAAACCGGCAGGCCGGAACTTGAGTCACATGGAGATGGGAAGTACAGTGCCGGCACTCTGAAGGAGGGGTGTTAATGTTGCAGTTTAAAAACTGTAGTGTAAAGCACCCTTCTGGCAAGACAGTGATGGAGTGAATGATGGTGAAAGTTTTTCTTTTTCGGGCCACCCTGCCTTAGTGGGAATAGGCCAGTGTGATAATAAAAAAAAAATAATAATATGTTATAAATAATAATACAGGTCTGCCATCACAAATCCGGCAATCGGTTATTCGGTTCCTTCAGTTATTCGGCACTAATTTTGGTTAGCATAATTTCAAAATTTCCAGGGTCGCCACACCAACTTGCTGGTACTGATTGGGGCGTCTACCTGCTGATAGTCATTCTAATTTCTTTTTCTCCATTTATGTTTTTACCTGCTTTACTTTTAGCCCTAGCCATGGTTCAATGAATAAAGAAATGCTTTCTATATGATAAAGCACTACACAGTACATTATCGCCATTAAAGATAAGGTGTGGCTTTGAAGCCACTGTCAGTTGCCATGAGCTCGTCGCATGAAGCAGGAGATATGGCTTATTATTATGCTAATATCAACACTTACGTTTTTTGCCCTTATCACAATTGATCTATAATGACATAAAGAAACAATATAAATAACATTAAACCATGTTAAATACTCCAGAATAAATTAAATTTAGCATAACACTGAGCATGTTCACGGAGGTATGAAGAGGATATGGTATACAAATACCATTTCTCCTATCCCTTTCTTGGTGGCTTATATTAGAGAAAACGGGTGTAGCAAGGGTAACTGTGTTATACACTCGTTACTGCACCATAAAAAAAACCTGAAAACAAAAAAGTTATTTTTCTCTCTATAGATTATCACACACAGCGCATATGTGTAGAGAACCTAGGATAACCCCAAAAAAAGGTCAACGTGGTTGATATTTTAGTACCTGGCGCGTGGGTAGCCATTTTGGATTTTGGTAAATTATTCGATTCACCAGCAGGGTAGAAACATTAGGCGTGTTTATTTCTTTAAACTGTTGTCTATGTTTACCATCAGTAAATGGGTACTGGGTGTTAGCGGACTAGTGTGGGTGTTATCCTGGGACACTGACTAATTTTCTTGAAAAACTCTGGCATAACAAGCAGCTTTCTATACAGTAGTTAGTATGTCACTGATGATCAGCTAGGCCTGTATACCTTGTACATGTACGTGTAGTAAATAAAGATATTATTATGATTATTATTATTTTCCAAGTTGTTTGTTGGGTTATTTCTTATTCAACTTGTGCAATGTATGATGGAAAGATACTTCTTCACGTACACCAAAAAATGAAAGAAGTCAGACCATAAATAGCGGAGCCTACTATCGCAGCCATCAGCGGCCGCTTAGCGGTATATTTTTGTTATGGTTGTTATTGGTATACATGTATTCTAATTACCCTTCTATCTCGGTCTCATTTGATAGAAATTGAAAGATATATTACAAGAAATAGGATATGATTGATTGCTTTCATGGAGAAAAAGTACTTGAAAATTGCGGCTCACAGTAGCGAAAATGTTCTATTCTTTAGCGAAGCTCAAGAGTAACCAAAATGACCGTCACGGTCCAATACCTGTCCGCCTCCTGCCTGTCTAAATTCCTGTACGGAGTCAAAAGAATGGGTTGACATTATTTATACAATTATGACAATAATGCAGCTGTTGCATAACAGTAAATCTCTTTTATTTCTTCTGTGAATAAAAATCAAATGAAAAGCAAGAGTAATATAAGAGGGGCTGTCAGCCGTGACTAATGAACAGAGAAATGTTATTTTATGCCAGGAATGTTGACATTGTTTATTCTGGACCCTATTTTTGAAAATTGGGCATCTGTTGAAATTTGTGTGAAATCAGCCAAATTGCCAATTTTGACCACTTTATTGGGTGTTGAAATAAGTGAATGGCAGTTTCTTGTAACTCAGTCGACAGACTAGAAGTAAATAAGTTTATTCAGGAATACACAAATTACATTTTAATATATTATCATACATAGCGTGTATGTATAAGACCTAGGATAACCCAGAAAGTCAGACAATGTGACTATTTCCAGTACCAGGCTTGGGCTTGCCATATATGATTTTGGTAAATTTTTTTTTCTCAGAGGTTGTTTGTTGGCTATCTCACTGAAAACTTGGGCAATGTATGTATGGAAAAGATGCTTCATTAACGTACACAAAAATAAAAAGACGGACGATAAATAAAGGAGTTCACTTCTCAGCCATAGCCGCCTCTTTGCAGTCTATTTTGAATGTTTTTTATTATTGTAGATTATTTCATTTTTTTGGACTCATTTGATAGAATGGAAGATATATTACAGAAACAGACATGATTTTGATTGCTTTCATGATGAAAAGTACCTTGAAATTGAGCTCAAAGAAGCGTAAATGTTTGATTTTTGTCGATGTTCAATGAACTTTGTGTAAGTCAAGTTGGTTAATTTTATTAAGTGTATTCTAACCCAACCATTCTGTAATCCGGGAAACTCAGTAATCCGGCACACTACAGGTCCCAATGATGCCTGATTTGTGATGGAGAACCTGTATATATGCTTGTACATGTATGTGTAGTGTGACCTAAGTGTAAGTAGAAGTGGCAAGATGTACCTGAAATCTTGCATGTTTACGAGACAGAAAAAAGGACACCAGCAATCCTACCATCATGTAAAAGAATTACAGGCTTTCGTTTTACACTCACTTGGCAGGACGGTAGTACCTCTCTGGGCAGTTGCTGTTTACCAACTTACTACCTAAAGATTATAGAAACGAGTGAGCTTAATATTTATGATGAATGTACCATCTTTGGTGGGTGTGCTGTGCTCACCTAGAACACCCAGAATGTACAGCCATATACAGTAGATGTTGAAACACACCTGTGTGCATATGGGAGCATACACAGGAGCAGAAAACTTGTCCTTGTTCACTTCCAGCCACTTAAGAGCATTGTAAGCATCCAGGTTCCTCCTCCTCAGAAGTTCCAGACGCTGCTTACTGACATCCTGCAAGACAATAAACCCAATAAATCCACTTCCTAAGAACAAAATTTTCAACATATTAGTCTGTACAAGCAGAAGCCCATACAATACACCAAAACAACATCCAGTAGGGCCCTGCTTTACGGTATATATATCGCCCTTACAGCGTTCACTAATATGGCAAATTTCAAATTATCACCAAAATCTTAACTAGCAACCTTGTCTTTCTAATACGGCATGTACCACCAGGTTTTGTTTAATTTTCTGTGAGCATATATCTGCAATTATGGCCGGGAAAACTTACCAAAACTTCAAGTCTTTTAAAGTTATTGATATTTTAAGTGTGTTCTGATAATGATAACTGTAGCATGTACCTAAATATGCTTTAATACACTGTGCATGGCAGGTACACATTTAAATCACTAAGAGTGCCCTCTAGTCTTAACGCCATAGTAATACAGTGGACCCCGCCTTTACGAACGATCGCCAGTTACGTTAAATCCAGTATGAAGAATTTGAACACAAATGTTTTGCCTCGCCTCTCGAATATAAAAACTCGCCTTACGTGCCTCGTCTGGACGCGTCCCAAGTGTGGCTCAGGCCCCAAAGCAGCCACGTGCGGCGCATCTACGCATACACTCGGTACATTCACATTATCCCAGTGTTTGTTAGTGCGTGTAATGCAAAATAAGTCTCCATGTACCCCAAAAAAGCTTCTAGTGCCATCCCTGTGGTAAAAGGTGTGATAGTATTAGTTTGGTTTTGAATAATTGTGTGTTGTATTTGTGTTACTTAGTGGGGGGATACTGCATATTCAGTTTAGGAGATGATATTCTCACTTCACAAGATTCTGCTTGAGGGGGGGGCTTAAGGGGTATTGGTATTGGGGTGGGAAATGGGGTGGTTTGGCGGTTTGGTTAGGTTCTCCTACTTTTTTCCATTGTTAACACAAAAAAAATATACAAACAAAAACAAATAAAATATAAAAAACCAAAAAAAAAAAACCAAAAAAACACCAAAGGAGGTAAGAGCTATATGGACAGATTTGTCTGTGTGACAGGAGGCCCAGTGACTCTCAAGCTGGTCCTAGTGGCATAAAAGAGAAGGGAAGTAAACCCCGGGAAAAAGGACTTGCTACCTCAAGTCCTAAAGGAAGGGGATTCCCCTTCTAACATAACTTCCACACTCTCCCCCCTCCTCCCATTCCCACTAATCATTCACCAGATTCTTCAATAAAGGTAAGTGTTCAGTATTCTAATTCTGTTAGAGTAGTATTGTGTATGTCTTCTTCAGTTTGTGTGTATTAAAATTAATATTTCATGTGGTAAAAATTTTTTTTTCATACCTTGGGGTGTCAGGAACGGATTAATTTGATTTCCATTATTTCTTATGGGGAAAATTAATTTGGCTAACGATAATTTCGGCTTACGATGAGCTCTCAGGAACGGATTAATATCGTACGGCGGGGGTCCACTGTATTAATATTACGGAATAATACTCACTCTTGAGCACACTGAATGTCTTATTTTATGTCAATACAGACATTTTCATTAATCCATCTATGATATTTTCTTCAAAATTATATAAGAAACATGTTACATAGCATATAAACATGCTATGTTTATATGCTATGGAGGTGTGGTTGCCGGGTGGAGGAAAAACATTATGTAATACTAATAATAATAACTCTTGGGCACATTAAATGCCTTATTTTATATTAATATTGACATTTTCATTAATCCATTTATTTACTTATTTATGTCTTCGCAAATAGTACATTGAGATCATGTATTTACAATAATGGGTTACAATGCAAAGAGAGCCTCTATTATGCCTAGGCATTATGGGCCGACTTAACATTATTGGCTTACTGACTACTTAACACTAAAGAATTATATCGTAGTTGTACAGTAGATCTATTAATTATAAGTGAATCTAATTTATATAAAACAAAAGATATATTCAAACAGTGGACCCCCGACATACGATATTAATCCGTTTCTGAGAGCTCATCGTATGCCGAAATTATCGTAAGGCAAATTAATTTTCCCCATAAGAAATAATGGAAATCAAATTAATCCGAGCAAGACACCCAAAAGTATGAAAAAAAAGTTTTACCACATGAAATATTAAGTTTAATGCACACAAACTGAAGAAGAGATGCACAGTTAGTACTCTACTAACAATAGAATACATGACACTTACCTTTAATGACGATCTGGTGATGATTGATGGGATGGGAGGAGGGGAGAGTGTCGAAGTTGTTATTGTTTAGAAGGGGAATCCCCTTCCATTAGGAATTGAGGTAGCAAGTCCTTTTCTGGGGTTACTTCCCTTCTTCTTTTAATGCCACTAGGACTTCTGTCGCACAACATATCTGTCAATAGAGCTCTGTACCTCTCGTTCCTTTATGACTTTTCTAAAGTGTTTCACAACATTGTCATTGTAATAGTCACCAGCACAGCTTGCAATAGCTGTGTGAGGGTGATTTTCAGCCATAAAGGTTTTCACCTTTGTCCACATTGTACACATTTCTTTAATCTTTGAAGTAGGCAACTTCTTCAATTTCTCTATCCCCTCCTCCGAAGTAGTTTCCTCAGGTCTGGCCTCTTGCTGCTGAAGATGATCTAGCAGCTCGTCAGTGGTTAGTTCTTCATTGTCCTCCTCCACCAACTCTTCCAAATCCTCCCCACTAACCTCCAACCCCAAGGACTTCCCCAACGCCACAATGGATTCCTCAACTGGCATACGATTCCCAGGGTTAGCCTCAAATCCTTCAAAATCCCTTTTGTCTACACATTCTGTACACAGTTTCTTCCAAGAAGAGTTCAAAGTCCTCTTAGTCACTCCCTCCCAAGCCTTACCTATAAGGTTTACACAATTGAGGATATGAAAGTGATCCTTCCAAAACTCTTTTAGAGTCAATCGAGTGTCTGTGGTCACTTCAAAGCACTTTTGAAACATAGCTGTTGTGTAGAGTTTCTTGAAGTTGGAAATGACCTGCTGGTCCATGGGCTGCAGGAGAGGCAAAAACTTGATGTTAATGAAGCTCATGTCCCCAGAAAGTCGCCCTGCCAAGTCTGTAGGATGACCAGGGGCATGTACCAGGAGGCACTCAAGGTCTAATTTCTTTTCAATTAGGTAATTTTTCACATTGGGGGCAAATGCATGGTGTAACCAGTCATAGAAAAAGTCCCTAGTTACCCATGCCTTACTATTTGCCCTCCACAGCACATACAAATTAGCCTAGACAACATTGTTTTGCCTGAATGCTCTGGGAGTTTCTGAGTGATACACCAATAAAGGCTTCACTTTGCAATCACCACTAGCATTGGCACACATCAGAAGAGTAAGCCTGTCTTTCATAGGCTTATGTCATGGGAGTGCCTTTTCCTCCTCAGTAATGTAGGTCCTGCTTGGCAATTTCTTCCAAAACAGGTCTGTTTTGTCGCAATTAAACACTTGTTCAGGCTTAAATTCTTCACTGTCTATGTAATCCTTGAATTCCTTCACATATTTTTCAGCTGCTTTTTGGTCCGAACTGGCAGCCTCACCATGCCTAATCACACTATGTATGCCACTACGATTCTTAAATCTTTCAAACCAACCTTTGCTGGCCTTAAATTCACTCACATTACCACTAGTTGCAGGCATTTTTTCAATTAAATCCTCATGCAACTTCCTAGCCTTTTCACATATGATTGCTTGAGAGATGTTATCTCCTGCTATCTGTTTTTCATTCATCCACACCAATAACAGTCTCTCAACATCTTCCAGCACTTGCGATCTCTGTTTCGAAAACAGACATGCACCTTTTGCAAGAACAGCTTCCTTGATTCCCGTTTTCTTGGCCACTATAGTAGTGATAGTTGACTGGGGTTTGGTATACAACCTGGCCAGCTCCGACACACGCACTCCACTTTCGTACTTTGCAATTATATCTCTTTCTTCATTTCCATAGTAATAAGCAGCCTTTTTCCCGCAGGGTTGGCACTAGAAGCTTTCTTGGGGCCCATGGTGACTTATTTTGCAGAAACAAGCACCAAAAACACTGTGATAATATGGAATGTACCGAATGTATGCTTAGATGCGAGCACACCTGCTGGCTTGTAAACACTGGCACGCACGGGGCAGTTCAGGCCACACGTGGACGCGTCCCGGACGAATTGGGTGTGGTGGGTTTTTTAACGTGTGGCGAGGCAAAACTTTTGTGTTAAAATGCATCATATGGCGCATTTAACGTATGCCGATGCCATAGTATGCCGGGGGTCCACTGTATTCAAATTTGCTTTTTGTGAAATTATTCAAATTATGATATGGGAATACGTACTGAGTATGGGAATACTGAGTATTGAGCATTTAGTCTAGAGTGATTAAGCGGCTTTTGAGAAGAGTCTTAAATTGATTTTCAGACTGGGTTGCTTTTGTAACTTCAGGTAATGAATTCCATATTTTGGAGCCCTTTATGTGCATAGTTTTTACACAGTGTGACATGGACACGGGGTATGTCAAAAAGAGATCTGTGTCTTGTGTTATGGTCATGTGTCCTGTTAACCCTTTGAGGGTTTTCGTCGTACTAGTACGTTTTACGCGTAGGGGTTTTTGACGTACTAGTACTCATAAATTCTAGCGGCCTCAAATCTAGTGGGAGAAAGCTGGTAGGCCTTCATATGAAAGAATGGGTCTATGTGGTCAGTGTGCACAGTCTAAAAAAAATCCTGCAGCACACAGTGCATAATGAGAAAAAAAAAACTTTGACCATTTTTTTTTAATAAATCAGCGACTTTGCAGTGTATTTTCGTATGGTATTTATTGTTGTATTCTAGTTTTCTTGGTCTCATTTTATAGAATGGAAGACATATTACAGAAATTGAGATGATTTTGACTGGTTTTACAATGAAAGGTGCCTTGAAATTGAGCTCAAAGTAGCAGAAATGTTCGATTTTTACCAAACTTCAAAAGTAAACAAATCGTGCCAAGCGTGCAATACACATCAACTGGTGAGTCTAATATTCTTTTACAAG